AAAAAATTATTTTAAAAAAATAAATAAAATAAAACAAACAAAAAAAAAGTCTTTCTTAAGATCACATTACCTTGTAGCAATGTGTCCATTTCGGATTAACCAGTTGACTAATTCTTTTCCCACAATGCAGTTAGGATGTGTTCTTAGCCAGTAACGGTGATCCTGAAACTCCATTCCACTACTGTGATGGCAGATTTTCTTCCACAGGTCCTTTAACTGAACACTGTCCTGAAATCACATTATGAGCAAATAATTACTCCTGAGAAGGATACTATTATATACCTTTGCAGATTCTTTCCTGTTGTTTTTTTAGATGCATAAAAGGAAATTCAATTCAGATTTCTTTATCAGTGCCAACTCACATCATTTGACACGTGCATGGGGAGCACTTGAACTCAGCTCATCTAATTGCAAATGTAACTTTTTCTCTTAAAAACCTTAGTGGCTCAGTTGATTATGCAGCTGCTTTCAGCTCAGGTCATGATCTCAGGGTCCTGAGATCAAGCCCCATGTCGGACTCCCTGCTCAGTGGGGAGCCTGCTTCTCCCTCTCCCTCTGCCATTCCTCCCCACCGCCCAGCTTGTGCTCTCTCTCTCCCTCTCTCTCAAATAAATAAAATCTTTAAGGAAAAAAAAAACCCAACTATCCCAAATAATTTTTTTCAGTCAATGGCACACATGATCAGTCTCCTAGTTATCTAAGTACAAAATTGCAAAATCTCCTCTTTGGAGCCAGGGCAAGGGAGAGGGGAGAATAGTCAATCACACCAATCTATTTCTCGCAGCCTTCACTTCAGCAGCTTCCCACCACCTTTCTCACCTGTACCCAAATGCCAGGTGAATCTTCCTAAAGGAAGGCCTTCCATGAATGACTCCCTGCTCAAAAAAACTTCCAACATTGCTCAGCACCTATGGGTTCAAATCTAAACTTGTAAAGGCTGAACTCACCATGTTCCACCAGGTAACCCCAAGTAACTTCCATGTGCATTGCCCACACACTCCAGCTTAATCTCTTTGCCCACAGACTGAGCTTACTCTCCCTCCCAACCTCTCCTAACTAATAAGTCCTACTTTGGTGCATGGAAAATGTCATGTTTATTTTCATCTCTATACCTTGTCACATCTTTAAATGAGGTTTGTTTTCCTCAATGCCTACCCAAATCCATTCCGTTCTTCAAGGTCCAGGCCAAGTCTTTCAGTTTAAAGCCCTCACCACTAATGACCTATTTCTTATTCAAAAGTATTACATTTTTACTATTAAGGACCTGCCCGTCAGCCTCATTTCTACCTTTTGAATTTTAAGCTTGAGGATAGAAGCCAATTTCCATTTAAGTCACTCTCAATATAAATAAACACAGCATTTTACACACAGATAAATTCAATAAACAACTGATCAGTATCTCATATAAACATATAGTATAAAGGTATGCAAAGCATTCCATGTGTATGAGAAACATGTTTCAAAGTTTAAAAACAGTCTGGAACCTAACTAAAAGTTCAGCTCTCTTACTATGTAAAGCGCCTGAATTCTTATCTTACCAGATGAAAGGGATCAAGAAAATATTAATTCAATATAAGAGCGCCGAATGCTTCACCACTTTCTTAGGTGATCCTAATAAAAACTTAAGCTAATTATTTCCTGTATTAATTTATATGCTAACTGGCTATTTGTAGGTTTCTTAAAAAGAAAAATCAGTGAGATACAAAACATTTATGCTCAAAAATAGCAAAGATACTGGACGAGTACCAGAAGAATTTTGCGTTCATCCTCAGTAGTCTCTGTCCTAACATAGGTTCGGTTAGCCTGGGGACTGACAGATGTCTCATATGAAGATACCATGGGAGAACCAGATCGATCCAGTGACAGGTTAGTAATGCTAGCTGATCTGGAAATAAAAACAAAAAGTGAAAACACAGTTGTAAATTCTTCATCAGTAAATAAAATTACAGTGAAAATTCATTTTTAAATAAATGCTTACTGGGGCGCCTGGGTGGCTCAGTTGGTTAAGCGACTGCCTTCAGCTCAGGTCATGATCCTGGAGTCCCAGGATTGAGTCCTGCATCAGGCTCCCTGCTCAGCAGGGAGTCTGCTTCTCCCTCTGACCCTCCCCCCCCTCATGCTCTCTCTCTTTCACTCTCTCTCAAATAAATAAAATCTTTAAAATAAATAAATAAATGCTTACTTGCCAACATTAAGGGTACTTTTAAATGTAGTTATGATGGTTATGTATAATACCATCATTGGGAGAAGCTGAGAGAAGAGTATCCAGAAATTCTCTATAATAAATTGTCGAACTTCTGTGTTAGTCTAAAACTATTTCAGAATAAGTGTAAAGCAAAGTCACTATGGAAAGATTATAGGAAAGCAATGGTAAATATAGTATATTTACCATTAATATTTCAAAGGAAAAGGATATAAACTCTTCTTATTACAATGCTGAAAACTAATTTTTTTTTTTTATTTTAACTGACAAATATGAAGAATCACAGACTAAATACAGAAATAATCTTGCAGGGGCCCCTGGGTGGCTCAGTTGGTTAAGCCTCTGCCTTCTGCTCAGGTCATGATACCAGGGTCCTGGAATAGAGCCCCGAGTCAGGCTCTCTGCTCAGCAGGGAGCCTGCTTCTTCCTCTCCCTCTGCCATACCCCCTGCTTGTGATCTCTCTCTCTCAAATAAACAAATAAAATCTTTAAAAAAAAAAAAAGAAAGAAAGAAAGAAAGAAAGGATCTGGCAGATCAGGAACAGGAAACTATGGCCCACAGACCAAATGGTTTTTGCATAACCAATGAATTAAGAATGTCTTTAGATGAACATCTGTAATGTTCTGGTAAAAGAAAACATTAACTCTGAATCCCAACTAAGCAAATGTTATTCCCCCAAAATAATTCCTTTCCTCTTATTAGAACTGCATTGTTGTCCTCAACATACTTTGAATTTGATCAATAAAAAAATGAGTGAAAATTTGTTTCCTCTCTTGTCATATTATTACTTATATAATATCCTTAATTTTGCCTCTTGGCAAAGTTACTAGATAAATGACCTGTAAGTGGAATGTCAATAGCATCAAGCAAGCTTTTATTTATTAAAAAACTGTAGCTAGAAATTTTAGTTAGCTTCTACTTAGAAAAAAATGAAACCAAATTTTAGCTTCTGTATGAAGGATAAAAAGGCAGAAGCATCTACAATGAGTTAGACACTAAACTCATTCTCACAGCATACTAGGTAGTACTACTAAATCCATTCTACAGATAAAGAAATCACCAATCAGAGATTAAGTAATTTGTCTAAGGTAACTCAACTAACAACAAGGCTGCCTTTCAAAACCTTTTCAAAATTGAAAAACTATGCTCTCTTCAGTATAAAGATAAAGATACTTTTAAAGTAATTTTGGGGCATCTGGGTGGCTCAGTCAGTTGAGCGTCCAACTCTTGGTTTTGGCTCAGGTCATGATCTCATGCATCATGAGATCAGGCCCGAGACAGGCTCCATGCTCGGTGGGGAGTCTACCTGAGGATTCTCTCCCTCTGCCCTTTCCCCAACTCGTGCATATGCGTGCACATGTGTGCTCTCTCTCCCTCCCCCGCAAAAATAATCTTTAAAAAAGTAATTTAAGAAATTATTCACAGGTTTGTAACAGGTTTAGCAAAAAGTCATTCTTAATAGCTTATGAGAAACCACTGGTATCAAATAAATAAGATTTTTCAATCATTTATTTCTTGGCATAGTCTTTTAGTGAAAAGTCACCACTATATGTCTTATTCCATTAATTAAAATCTCTTTCCAACGAATGTATTTTTATCCCTGTGTTTTGCTTCTCTAACATTCTAACTATCCCTGCACTGCACATATCGATATGGCCGTAACAAGACCAAAAGAAAATGAGTCAAATTTGTCGTCAAATACTCTAATAAGTAGCCTAGCATTAAGAATGCTGGTTGAAGTTTTATTTAGAGATAGTACTCACTGACTAAATTATACCTTTCCCAAAGACTTACATCAACAATAGCATTAATTCAAAACACATGGAACTACAATGTAAATTAGCACAGCTACTTCTCCATTTGTACACTGCCAACAGAAATACTGTAATTCATCCCACCTTTTAAAAAACTGTCTTAACTCCACATCCCCTTGCGGCATCCCCCCTTCACTATAGCACAACTCCCATCTCCAATTCTTCTTCTTCCATTTAGGGAATCCAAAATGGTACAGCCACTTTGGAAGACAGTTTGGCAATTTCTTATGAAACTAATCATATTCTTTACCTACGAACCAACAATCATACTCCTTGGTATTTATCCAAATGAACTGAATATATGACCACATGAAAACCTGCACACAAACGTCTACAGCAGCCTTATTCGTACTGTCAAAACTTGGAAATAACCAAGATATCCTTCAGTAGGTAAGTTCCAGATAATGGAACATAATTTAATGCTGAAAAGAAATGAGTTATCAAGCCATGAAAAGACATGGAGGAACCTTGAATGAATATTACTAAGTGAAAGAAACCAATCTGAAAAGGCTACATTCTGAATGAGTCCAACTATAAGAAAGGGAAAACTATAGAGACAGTAAAAAGATCAATGGTTGCCATGGGTTGGGGGAGGAAGAAATGAATAAAGAGAGCACAGAGAATTTTCTTTTTAAAGATTTTATTTATTTGAGAGAGAGAGAGAGAGAGCACAAGCAAGGAAAACGGAGAGGGAGCGGGGCAAGCTGACTCGACACTGAGCACAGAGACCCCACACCCTGAGATCACGACCTGAGCCAAAATCAAGAGTCAGATGCTTAACCGACTGAGCCAGGCAGGCACCCCAGAGCACAGAGAATTTTTAAGGCAGTGAAACTATAGTATATTGCAACACTAGATATCATATCATTATACATCTGTCCAAACCACAGAATGTACATCACCAAGAATGAACCCTAATATAAATTATGAACTTTAGGTTATAATATATCAATGCAGGGTGATAATATATTACTGTTGTTCATCAACTGTAACAAATATACCACTCTGGTGCAGGATACTGATCGTGGGGGAGGTTATGAAGGTAGGGCATAGGAGGTATATAGGAATTTTCTGTACTTTCCACTCAATTTTGCTGTGAGCCTAAAACTGCTCTAAAAATGAAGTTTTCTGGGGCACCTGGGTGGCTCAGTGGTTAAGCAACTGCCTTCGGCTCAGGTCATGATCCTGCAGTCCCAGGATCGAGTCCTGCGTCAGGCTCCCTGCTCGGCGGGGAGTCTGCTTCTCCCTCTAACCCTCTCTCCTCTCATGCTCTCTCTCACTCTCTCTCTCTCAAATAAATAAAATCTTTTTAAAAAAATGAAATTTTTTAATTAAAAAAAAGTAAAAGATCCTGATGTCTGCAAGTTATTCTCAAATGATTCAGAAAAAAAATCTATTATATAAATAGTAACAAAGCAAATGGGAAAATGTAAATTAGTGAACCTTAATAAAGAATATGTTAAAATTTATTATTCTTGCAACTTTTTGCAAATTTGAAATTTTTTCAAAATAATTTTAAAAGTTTTTTAAAAACTCGAACTCTCTAGTACCTCCCATTTCACCCAGACAAAATGACAAAGTCCTACAATTAACTGTAAGAACCTTCTACTCCAGGTACACAGAACCTCTAACAGCTATGTTCCTTCTAGGAATTTGCTATTTCCTGTTTTCTTGGTACACTCTTCTACAAAATGTCCACATGGCTCATTCCCTCACATCCTCAGGTCTTTGCTCAAATGTCACCTTCCCAGTGAGGTCTTTCCTGACTACACTATTTAAAATGCTTATCTCTACCCCTATGTCTTATTGCTTTTTTAAGCATTAAATTTTTGTCTGTTTGGTTCATTGCTGTATTACACATTCCTGGTTTCTAGGTACTTGTAGAAAGAATAAATTGAAAGTATGTTAAACCAAGGTCATTCAGATGTCTAGTTCTTCAGGTTAAGAACTACTTATTCACCACTTAAACTTGTAAAAAGGAAAGCATTTTCAGTGAAGAGGTGTGGACATCAGTAAGATCTAGTAAGCTGAAAAAGGAGGAAGTGTGCAGGTGTAGAATGATTACAGGCAACTATTTCAAGGAATTTGGCTAAGAAGAAAAGAAATAATTGAGAATATAGGTAAAGAGAGATGAACCATAATTTATTTGTTTTTAATAGGTTATCTGAGTTTGTTGAAATGCTAATGGTAAGGAGTCAGCAATGAGAGGCAGAAGGTACAAACATCAATAGGATGATTAATAAAAAAATGAGAAGGGATGGGATCCAGAATACAAATGGAGAATTAGCTTGGATAAGAGGTAGAAAAAAAGAAAAAGATGAGCTAAGTGTAAATCAAGTTGGTAAGTGGTGGTAAGAGCTGAAGTGTCTATTTCTTAGCTGCTCTCTTCGTTCTATAATAAAAAATAAGGCCCCCTGCTAAGCTAGAAGAAAGCCAGTGGAGATCTGAAGCCAGTGGAGAATACTGGAAAAGAGACACTGAAGAGAATGCAAGCCAGAACTGACTAGCAAAAGGGAAAACAATAGTTTAATTCAGCTTTAGAGCTAAGGAAGTATAATAATCAATCCCACCCCATTTTTATCTGTTTGCTCTTCTCATTACCATGAAAGAAAGAAAAATCAAATACAGAATATGGAGTTTTCATTTGGCAGTTTACCTATTTCGAGCAGGAGATTTCCCAGCATCCTCTTGAACAGATACAAGTCTTGTTGAAAGAGGAGTATTTGAGGAGTCTGGATGAATCAAACTACAAAGAAAGCAGAAAAATACTGAGGTGATTTGGGTCGGTAACAAGCAAATCCAATTTCAATGAAATGCTTTAACATTTAAAAGCTGATTGTTTTCCCCTGCAATAACGAGATTATATGTCAGTTTTGTTTTCTTCTTTTAATTAAGGTAGAAACTATGGTTTTTATATTAACTATATCAACTGCCAAAAGACTGGTAGTTTATTAAGTATACAGCATGCCCTTAAAATAACACTGGTTGGATGGGTACTTACAGAACTCCTTCATCCATCATATACTCAAAATTGAAGTGATTTGGAGGGAGATCCTGAGTTCAAGTATTTTATTCTCAGTCCCCACAGCCCACTGGAATAGCACCGCAGAGTCAGACCTAGGTCCAAGTGCAGGCTCTCCCTCTTACTAGCTGTATGACCTCGGGTCCATCAGTTAATCTCTCTAAACCTCAGCTTCTACATCTGTCAAAAGGAGAAAGTAGTGCCTATCCCAGAGATACAATAACTAAAAGATAATGAACATGAAACAATTAGCACAGAAATAAAATTATTCTATCCTTGACATCTAACCCACATCTCTTAGGAAGCTTTCAAATCTAGTTTATTAGAGGACACTTGCCAATTCTGGACTCACACAATAGGGCCAGGTACAACTAAAAGGCATTGTTAGCTAAAGTAAGAAAGAACTGAGAATCCCTATACTTTTTTATTGTTCTATTAAATGTAGAATCAATTTTTAAAATTTATAAAATACATATGATGAATAAAGAATCCTGATGCCACAAACACCAATGCACCATTAGCACCGACTCTGAAACGCCTGTATTCCCCTACCCAATCCCATTCCCCTCTGGGCCCTCCATGAAACTACTATTGTCAATTTTATACTTATCATTTTCTTCCTTTTCTTTAAGTTTACCACATCTGTATACCTAGACAGTGTGTTTGTTTTGTGTATTTTTGAACTTCATAAATAATCATTGTATACATATGTGACTTTCTTTTCTGTTCCACACTACGTCCCTGAGAGTCATACATGTAGAATGTAGCTATAATTCATTCTTAACTTCTATTTAAATTCATTGGTTACCTATTAATTCCTCACACCTTTAAGGGGTGATTGATAAAATAACTTATCAGAAAAAGGTTAATTAAAACTCTAAGCTCTTTGATATGGCCAGAGGCCAGATGTAGTATTGTACATAAGAATATAACTTAGCTAAAAAAAAAAAAATCAGAAACCGATGAATCTAGGATTCTAATTCAAACAATTCCATGTAACTTCCAAGAGTTAGTAATATCCTTCAACAGCAGGCAGCTGGAAGTAGCATATTTAGATCTATGGAAAACATGAAATGTTCCTTAGGGAGGAAATAAATCTAATTTCATTTACAAATATTATGAATACAAAGTTTATGGGCATTTTCCTTCTCTAAGAAGGCTACATCAGAAATTATTCATCTCAATAACTTCTGTTTCCTTTTCAACAAATATTATCAAGATCATATATATGCCATACACTGTTCTTGGTGCCAGTGGGTAGAACAGTGAACAAAAACAACATAAAGTCTCTCCTCCTGTAGAGCTTACATTCTAATTAGTCAATATAAACACTATCCATAAATATTCCATGATCCTTCTGGTAGGAAGCCAAAGAAAAAGGAGGGGAATATATTGGAAATAATTCAAAGAAGATAAAAATTAACTGAAGGCACTCATGGGTCACAAGACTATCTGTATTCCTCAAATATAAATAAAATTGTACTCTAGTGATAATACCTTTGCCAGGCAAAATCATCCTCTAGAAATATGTTGCGGCTGGCTTTTCTACTTCCGACAGGCGTTCGAGGTTCACTTGGATCAAGTACAGAGACAGAGGAAGCAGAATCTGAAAGAGCATTCAAGTCTTCCCCAATGGAATGACTGTCTGTGGAATGAGCATAACTTAAGGCTATTTTTCTACAGTATGTACAAGCTCGGAGGTCCCCTAGGAGGGAAAACAAAACAAGAAAATTAACTTAAAAAAATAACGATAATCGGTTACTTAACAAAACATATTAAATCCCTGGGTTAGTAGTTTTTCAAGTAACAGGAAAATGTCTTCAAGTAAAGACTACTAAAAAAGATGTTTTCACAATGCAAAATAATTTTATTATTAGCTCATTTATATATTTTAAAAACCATCACTACGATAAGTTCATCCAGGCATTCAAATAACCTCAAGTGTTTATTAATGAGTTAAGAAAAAAGCACCCACTGATAATAGAAAAAACTCTTTAAGAGTATTTTTCAAAAAAAATACATTTTTCAAGGTTCTAAAAATGAAATAAAGGTCAGTAGGTTCAAGAAAAAAATTGTTTCGAATACAGTAAATAAAGCAATATAAAAGGGAAACAACATATTTCCCCTGGCCAAGGAGGAAAATGTTATGTAAGTCTCCATTGTGAACCCCTAGGAGTGGCCTCCACAAGGGGGCACCATCTCAAAAACAAACAAATAGAAAATGGGCTTACAAACCGTAAGAAATATGTGGGGAAACTATTACAGAAAATCCTATAGTTAAAGTTGAGTTGGCAATGAAATATTCTTCGGAGGACAAACAAGGTCATTTAATACTTTCATACACTGCCATTTTTTTTAGGACACAGCCCTGCCCAAATAGAAGTTTTCATTTCTATCCTGTTTTTCTGTAACAATTATTCGTGTGATTCTGTAAGTTTAGTGTACTAAAAAAAAAAAGGGGGGGGGTCAGATAATTAAACGTGTATTTTACATTTACATTATTTTACAAATACATGTTATTTAACAATTCCACCTTAATTTTTTTTTTTACAATTAACATTAGAAAACTGACGTGACATGGAACAAAAGAGTTCTTAAAGGCAACTGTAATGTTTTTACCATAATTACAACCAAGTATAATTATACTAAATGGTTTTAGGGGTTTTTTTCATTTTAAGACTACAACTATGTGGTCCTCAGTTTTGTTAAATTGTGCATAGATTTTAAGCAAAATTAAGTATCACTTGTTTCATTACTCCTTTCTGATGCCACGATTCAACAGATGAAACATACTAAAACTAAAGAAAAATATATCCACTTCCATCAGGACCAAAAAAAGTGAATCCAGTCCGGGATAAATGAGAGTGTCAGGACAAACCGCCCCCAGGTGACCGAAGCAGAACAACAGTAAGGAGTGAAATCACATCCTGCAGAAAGGTCTTTAAGTTGCCATAACAAAGGCTTGGTTTGTTTCTTACTATAAGGAAATCTCCCTTCACCAGTCAGCTATTAGAATGAAAATGATCAGAACACAGCCAAGCCTGAACTGAAAAGGTTTCATTTCATGAAGAACCTTCATCAGCAAGTGCCTGATGAACACATGCCTATATTATGTGATGGTATACAAAGACTGAGGAGACACAGCTCTGCCACCAAAGAATTTGGTCCACTGAGGTGAAAGACACACATATAATTAAAAAGTTGCATGACAGATGCAGAGATATTACTGCTACTACCACAATAACTGCTTAATATTCATTCATCCCTTTCCATGCGCCATACATTATTCTAGGTACTTTATATTTATTCAAGGCTACTACGATATACAACTGTGTCCAGCACGTATTATCCCATTTGCAATGGTTAATTTTACGTGTAAACTTGGAGAGACTGGTTGGTTGGTCAAGTAGTAGTGTCCTTGTTGGTGTGAAGGGTTTTTGATTACCGTATGATTAATATATACAATCTGTTGACTTTAATTAGATTACCCTCCATAAAGTGGGTGGGCCTCATATCTTAGAATATTTTTGTCAAATTAGCAGGTATGACGAGACTGGTTGCTCCTAGTTGTACTAGACAAAGTGGGGGGAGGGAGGAAGAATGACCTCAGGAATTCAAATTCCCAGCTGTACAAATTACCTGGAAGTTTCTGTCTTCCCTGAGAGAAATCATTATCTCCTGTAGCCACAGAGCTGAAAATCAAACTAAGAGTTTCATCCTGCAAGTGGCTGAATTACAACACACACTGAATCACTAATCTTGCAGTATGACTGCTGTGAAAATGAGGGCACTAATTAGGAAGGAATGGAATCCTGAAAAGTAGAATGGAGATATATGGGAAGATCCTGATGAAGCTGGGGACACTAAGCCCCAAAATTCTGCTGAATCTTCATTACGTTTCTTAGCTTTGCACCCTGTCAAAGGAGATTAACCCTGATTTGCCTGAGAAATCCAAAATGGCCTGAGTTTGCTACCTTGCAAGACACTGCTTATTCTCCTCAGGACCCACTCCCACGACCCTCTTTGCTTCTAGAGCTATAACAAGACTCAAGTCCCAGCAAGCCCTGAAAGGTAATGTGATGGTGCACTAACATGATTTTTCCAACGTATATAGACAGAAACCCAGGGAATAGGTATGCAAATGGATATCAAAGATATAGGAGATATAGTGGAGATATATCAAAGATACAGTGGAAAGAACATGAAGTAGGACCCAGCTGAATTTACTGATAGGAGACCACTAGCACAGATTCTGGATTGAATATTGTAGCTTGAGGGGTAAAAAGGGCTCTAACGGTCTCATCAGTTGACTGGTTGGCTGAAACATGGACCAATAGTGGCCTACACTTAAAGAGGTTGAAAGGCCAGAACTGCCCTGGTATACTATGAAGGAAGGGATCCAAAGAATTAGGGAGAGTAGATGTTAAGAAAGGATTTATCAAGTAAGACCTGCTCACTCACCCCAGGAGGATCTGGAGCATATACCTTTCATGACCATGAGAAATAAATTTGTGAGGGAAACCCCAGGATCCTTGTAGAGCTTTGTGGTTGCTCTTCTCTGTAGGTCAGAAATTACAGTGGGAACTGCTGCCACTGAATTGGGAAACCTAAACGCAATGGAGACCGTTAGATCCTATGGTGGCAGGGGCAGAATGGTGGCACTTAATCGCCAATGACAAGGTGGGCACGGATACTATAATAGCCAGTAGAGTCAAAGTAGAGTCAAAGTAGAGTCAAAGAAGCAATCAGAATAGTAGCGACCATGGCATCGATCATGATGCTCAAAGAAGTGAAGTCGATGGGCAGTCTACTAAATTCTTACTCAATTTGTATAAGACAAACTCCAGAACAAGTGGACAGTAGTTTAACTTAAATCAAAAATAGTCATGGCCCCCCAATTAATTCTCAGAATTGAGCCATTTACAGACCCAGAATTCCTGAATGAAGCAGGGAGGCTGGGTCCCCTTGAGGAAAACCCTCATTACACTGCCAAAAACTTACACTGTTAATCTTTCTACCACCCTTCCCCAAAGGGACCTATAGCCTTTTACCAGGGTGACTGCATTGAGGAACATGTAACAGTCAAACCTTTGGGGGATTACTGGACTTGGCTCTAATTCCAGGAGACCCAAAATTTTATTGTAGTCTACCAGTCAGAGTTAGGAGCTTATGGAGGTCAGGTGATCAACAGCGTTTTAGCTCAAATCCATCTTATAGTGGGTTCAGTGGTTGCTCTGTGGTTATTCCTCAGTTCTAAAATATATAATTGGAATAAACATACTCAGCAAATGGCAGAATCCCTACATTAGTTCCCTGACCTATGGAATGAGAACTATTATGGTTGTTCTGGCCTCCAGAACTGTGAGAAAGTAAATTTCTGTTGTTCTAAGCTGCTCAGTTTGTAGTACTTTGTTATGGCAGCCCTGGGAAACCAACATAACCATATTAACAAGAGAGGATTTTATCCTAAGGGTAATGGGAGCTCTGAAACGGTTTTAGGCAGGTAATAACCCAGCATGATCAAATTAGCATTTAACAAAGAATAATGACCAGAGTGTGGAAAAGGAACTACAGGTAGGGATAAACTAAAGGTAAAAAATTCTTTTAAAGGCTGTAGCCATAATCCTGATGAAAGATAACTGAGCTCTGAACTCTGTAGCAGTTTAGTGGGGAGCGGGGGGTGAGTGAGGCTAAGAGGAAGATTTGCATAGTAACAAAAATAATTTAAGAGATGCAAAGAGTATTCTCCTTTTGGTTACTTCTGCCCACCTTCCACTCGCAAATCACTGTACAAATCCACACACCATTGTTTAGTATTTTCTGCTTCAACAAATAAATTAAAATTTCCATATTATGAAAGAATATGAGATGCAATTTGCTAAAGCACGGTGTCATATAACTCAAGGATGATCTGCATTTTGTAAAATGAAAACTCTCCTAGTGATATATATCAGTAATCTATCCTAACCACCTTGTCTAATAAATATTAATGCTCCTGTGGTTTTTTGCTAGCATCTATGACACACTATCTTTTACTCTAGTTATTTCTGAACCTCTCCATCTACTTTATTATTCGACTGTAAAGTCCTTTAAAGCAAAGCTGTATCTCCCTCACTTTTGTGTCCCCCATGTCTCACACATGAAACCCAGAATAAAAACTGGCTTTAACATCGGTCCTGAAAACTGTCGATAAAGTGCATTTACCTGTATAGCCCATAAATTTTCCAGGGATTTCTTGATTACAGCAACGACTGCAAAAAATCTGCCCACACAGTCGGCAATGGTGTCTGCGCCTGAAGGTTGTAAATTTCTCACTACAGTCATAGCATTCTTTACATTGGCTATCGGGCATCCAGTATTGCTTCAGGTCGCTATCCTAAACAATAACAGTATGTGAAATTGAAAATATGAAAAGATGCAATGACAAATGCAATGCTAATCAATATCCTACAAGGTTTCTTTTGGAGAAATTGACAAACTATTTCAAGAATTCATATGGGAATGGAAAAGACCAAAATGACCTTAAGCCTTAAACAGCCTTAAACAAGGCTTCAGTTGAAGGACATACATTACTGGCTACCAAGACTTATTCTAAAACTATAGTAATTTTAGACAGAAAATTCACTCAAGGATAGAAAAAAATGGAGCTATAGAACAGAAGAGAGAGGCTGCACACCCTCACACAAGTATATGGAATGCAATCAGTGAAGCATGGTCTTTCTAAAAAAATAAAAATAAAAAAAAAAATAAAAATGGTACTTGGTCCAATTAGACCTCCATGAGAAAAAAATAAAGCTTGACCCCAAAACTTTATATGAATTATAAAGTTTCTTGAAGAAACCATGAAAGACTATTTATTGACCCTGAGCTAAATAAATACTTCCTAAACAGAAAAGCGCTAACTTAAAACAAAAAGCACTAACCATAAAGGGGAAGAAAACTGAAAAATTAAAATTAGGAATTTGTACATAAAATGTGTTCATAGCTGGAGGAAGTACTAGCTGAACATTCTTTCGAGTCGAGTAGCATGATGCCATTTTTAGTGAGTATGCCATGAGCCCCATATAAGTATTTAGTAAAAATCTTCTAAAGCCTCGAGAAAGTACCTGGCTTTTCCCCTCCATGATTTCCTTGAGGCGTTTTAATACCGTGCTGAGGCTTCGAAGCTGAACAGCTGTACGCGGGTCATGACCTCCAAAGGTAGGTTCTGCTTTCCTTCTTGTGTCTGAGTCAGATTTACCAAAAAAAAAAAAAAAAACAACCTTGTTATTAATATCTATGCAAAATAAGGTATAAATGTGATGCACAGTGCCCTTATGTTCTCCCAGCCAGTGATATGGATTGAGAGTTAAACTAGTTTTTATAAAGGTAAGAGGCTGTTGGAAGTATTTCTTACTACCATGTAAACCATTGCTTCACAAGCAAGTAAGGACTACCTAAGAAAAGCACTGTCTAAGACCACTGACGATTTGAGGCCTCAGATGGACACACTGCTTAAATGGCCCCAAAATTCATTAACGATTTATTGGGCTCTTTGGATCCAAGCCGTAATAAATATCTGCTAGAAATTTAGCAGAAGAAAAAGCAATCCCTGTGAGTTAACCTAGCTTCGTTTCTACAGTCAAACAGTAAGCAACAGTTCAGTTCATTACAGACCAAGTACTTAACGCCTCATGAAGCAGATGATCAGAAAGGAGTTTAATAAAACACGTTCCCAAAGACTGACAGAGTTTAGAACATCCAGGGTGGTAATTTACCCACAAAATTCCCTTCACCAAGATCTAAACAGATTAAAAATGCCAAAGAATGGCTAGAATTCCAATCCTACCCTTTCCTGCCACCTCCTTGACCCTGCAGCTCCAAACTGAAAGGGATCACTTACACTTTAAATAGCAATACTAAAGTCAGTCCTATCAATAGTAAAACAGACGCAAATTCAGCTTCGTGGCCAAAATGGGTATGCCCACCAAAGCTGTCATATTATTTCCTTATTTTAGAGCAAGAGCCCAAATGAAGTTTCCACCTATTCCTGGCTCTGGCAGTCAAAAAACCTAAGGATGAAGTGGAAGTGGCTTGACAAAAAGGATGAACATCTCTATTAGCTTAACTCATTAACCTAATAACCTATGGCCGATCAAGATGGAAAATACCCCACCTTAAGTCTTTCTCAAGCTCACTTATCTGCTAGATTTGTTTTAGGCATTCTTTGTTTTGGTTGGGTAGCGCAGAAACGATTACCGAGAAATGAGAGGTTGCTCTCTAAATCTAAATTGAACAAAAAACTTCCCAAGACAGCAGAATAACACAAATGATTATTCAAAGTGCACCCACGCTAGAAAACTTTAAAAATTTTATCTTTGTATAAATACTCATATGCTAATTTCAGCAGACACCTCAGAGGTGTTGTTACTAGAATACAATGTGCAAGTATCAGAATGACCAAATTTTTCTTGAATATCACAATATAAAGCAAGTGTCCATAATTCACAAGTTGAAAAAAGAGGCAGATGAAACTGTTAGATCGCAATGGCTGTGCTCCCGTGCAGGGACAATAAATAATAGTGAAGCCCCCTGCATTTAGCTGCTCAGAAATATGAGAGTATTAATAGCATCATTCACTAGAAAAGGATGAGCAAGGCTGTTCCTGGAACCAAAAGAATCACAGATGAAGATGAAAGACCTGAGAGATATCATCTAGCACTCTGCCCTACATAATCTAAGATGCTTCTCTTGTAAAATGCATATTACATAATTAAGTGATTTTCTTAAAGTCACAGGGCTAGTAAATTGTGGAATTACAGCCTTTCAGTAGAAAAAGGAACTTGATTAGTCAAACAGTCTCAGGCTTCTGAAGCTTAAATGCCTCTAGCAGCTAAGGCAGAAAGAATCAAAGAATCAAACGGACTTGATAAAGACAGTAAGGAGTGGTGGGGATTGCAGCAAACTAAACATTACAAGCTCCAACTAGTGATTTTTTTTTAAAGATTTTATTTATTTATTTGAGAGAGAAAGCGCATGCGCTCACGAGCAGGGGGGAGGGGCAGAGTGAGAGGGAGAAGCAGACTCCCAGCTGAGCAGGGAGCCCTACACCAGCAACACCAGGCAGGCTTGATCCCAGGACCCTGGGATGATGACCTGAGCCGAAGGCAGACGCTTGAACGACTCAGCCACCCAGGTGCCCCCACCTAGTGATATTTAAATTCAAGATTATCAAAACACCAAGGCAAGGTGTGAGAGGCTGTTTGTAATCCCTAAGAGACTCTAGTCCAACTCCTCAATTTGACAAAGAAATTCTATGCTTAATTCAGCATAGGATGTAGTCAGATCCCTCAACAAAAACAACAGTGTTTCCACAGGTCAGGTTCAAAAGGGAAGGAGTTCACTGAGCTTAAAGGTTAAGCTGGGGATGGTCTCTTCCTTCCAACCATTTGGGGTTGAAGAAGATCTCCTCTCTCCCTCTCCCCCTTCCCACCTTTTGATTCTTCCTTCCACATGGCTGGTGTAACCCAGGCTAAGGCTCGTTGCCCTAGGAAACCTGCAGAGGTGATGCAGCCTTGCTCCAGTCCTCAGGCAGTTCCGCACCAAGTCTCGGCTGGCTATGAGATACCCTCCCACCAACCATCATTACCTGTGCCTGCCTACTTTTCACTCGAGGATCTCATGAGGGGAGACTGGCCAGACAAGACAGGATGTGGTGTTCAGGGACACTTGACTTCCACTGCTGCCCCCTCCTCTATTATGCCACCTCTCACTGCCCTTCTTCTATCACCTTGAGCTGGGCAAACCACTGTGCTCAGTTTAATACTCTAACAGAAATAAAACATAAAACAACTCACTTTGTCTTGTCTCTCCGTTCAGGCACTGATCCCCAGCCTACCTATTCTCATCAGAAGAGCATGACAATGAAGGAGATGACTATAGTCGACCAGGACAGAGAACAAACAGGCAAGAGCTCAGCTTATCCAGCCACAATGACAGTCTGCACCCCAACAAGGACAGAAGGCCAAGAGCAAGTGGCAGCCTGCTAACGGAGTGGAGAGAGTTCTGCAGCCAGAGGCATGCACACCACATTACACTAGCCATCCCGAGAACAGATGCGGAATTCATTCACAAAGCTGAAACTAACCTGTGTTCTCCTGGGGATGTTGCAAACTGTTCTCTTCTGAAACCCAAGCAAGTAATTAATCAAAAAACAGTCAAGAGATCTGTGCTTGGCCTAAGTTAAAATTTAATACAATGCTTAAGAATTTTTTTTTTAGGCATCAACAAATTCTTTCACTACCGAGGTAACAGTGTCATTAATTCTGAGGAGCACCTGACTATTCCAAATAACAGAAAAGTTAAGTCAATAAACAACCTGGGAAACATAATGACTGGAAAAATCTAACACACAAGAGAAAAATGAAATGAGAAGCACTGTCTCACCTAATACTGCTGAAGATCGTCGCTGGAGTTCCTCGTTAAGCTGTTTTTTATAAGGTGTAGGTGACCTCACAGACTGTGTTCTTGAAGGGAGCTGAGGGCTGGCCCAACTTCCACCTAGAGACTGCTGCTCCCCCTGGCCCCCTTCTGCGCGCTCTGTAGCAAAGGAAAGCTTGGCATTATTTGAAAAAATAAGACTCAAGAGTTCAGCAAAGAGAAGGAACAGAAGAAATTGTTCAGAAAATAATGTATTTATGTATTACTTGCATAATTAAAAATTAGGTTAAAAAAAAGAAATTCAAAGAAAGTGGCAAAATTATATGCCCATATATCCTTGGCATATGTGATCCTCAGTTTTACATTTCATTAGAAACATCTTGAGCATATTAAAGGAAACAGAATGCAAGCTTTACATGCCTGCAGAGATTTTTTTTGATTGGTTTTGTTCATGGGGTAGATTCCATGCACTATTAAAACAGTGCAATAGTGGGGGCACCTCGGTGGCTCAGTGGTTAAGTGTCTGCCTTTGGCTCAGGTCATGATCCCAGGGTCCTGGGATCGAGCCCCGCATCGGGCTCCCTGCTCAGCGGGAGCCTGCTTCTCCCTCTCCCACTCCCCCTGCTTGTGTTCCCTCTCTCGCTGTCTCTCTCTATCAAATAAATAAATAAAATCTTTAAAAAAAACAGTGCAATAGTGAATAGTAGGTGCTCAATAAACATTTGCTGAATAAAAAGATTATTGTCTTATGATAACTAAATATAATGTGGTATCCTGGATGAGATCCTAGAACAGAAAAAGGACTTTAGGTAGAAACTGAACAAGTATGAATAAAACACATACTTTAGTTTATGACAATGCATCAGTGATGGTTCATGAATATAGTATAGTTAAGTATACTACACTAACGTAAGACAACAGAGAAAGCTAGGTGTGGGAGTATATGAGAACTCTGTACTATCTTCCCAATTTTTCTATAAATTTCTATAAATCTAAAAGTAAACAGATTTTTTAAAAAGTCATTATCTTAAAAATGGACTGAAAGGAGATTTTATACAGCTTTAAATATGACTACTACTAAAAGTCAGTTAATACTACTAAAATTTCTCCTGAATTCATTTAACAATTAACCCTCAAATTCCTTACAGCAAGAGTGATTACTTTCTAACGCATTTCAAATAATACAGCCAAATAAAAAGCAAAGACACAGGCCATATTTTTAAAAAATTTTTTCCAGCTAAAAAATATATTACTTGAAAAGAGCTCACTTAAAAAGTACCTTTTCACTTCCAGTTATGGAATGAACAAGTCATGGGGAGGAAAGGCACAACACAGGGAACACAGTCAATGGCATGTAATAGCATTCCATGGTGACAGATGGGAGCTACACTTGTGGGGAGCAGAGCATAATGTATAGACTTGTCCAATCACTATGCTGTACACCAGAAACTAAAGTAACACTGTGTCAGCTATACTTCAATGAAAAAAATAAAAAATAAGGAAGATCCCAAATAAAGGAGATTCTGTAAAATAACTGGCGTGTTCTCTACAAAAATGTCAATCTCACAAAAGACAAAGAATGGGAGACTAAAGATAGATGAAAATTAAATGCAAAATCTGACCCTGGACTGGATCCTGAAAGGGAAGTTTTCTTTTGGGAACAATTCATTTGTTTGGAATACAGACTGCTCATCAAATAAAAGTACTGCACTGATACTAAATTTCCTGAAATAAATAAGTAAAAAGCATCTTTTCCCTTGATATCATTACATTTACACCTTAATCTGATTGGTTTAAGTCAACAGGCATGCTGACAGTTTCAATTTTGGAAAAATAAGAACCTTTCCTCCCACATGCTGATTCTTCTAGTTTTATGGGTCTAATTACAGCCTTTGGCTATTAACCCCTAAAAGAACAAAGTCCATTCTGTGAACTTAAGAAAGTTGAAACATATTAAGAAAGGAAAAAAAAAATGCTAACTCAAAAAGGGACTTTTTGGGGGGGGGACCTCTTTTTAACATTTAGTTTTCAATTCAGATCTTTAGTTACCAATAATTAATAAGATTACAGGGAGAATTCTAGCTTTCTCTTCATAATAAACCCCAGTGACCTACGATTAAAGCTATCTCCTTGCTGATATTTCACATCCTTGCAAAGACACAGCATAAAAGCTGAACAAGAAAATTTCGGAGAATCAAAACTGCAGGTTCTCTGATCCTTAAGAATAAGGCTTACCTTTGTTAAATCGAAAGAGATTGACGAAAGAACTATACGCTGATTTAAAAGGAGGTTCGTCCTGATCAGGAGTCAAAGGTTTAAAGTGTGTGAGATGAGAAGGACTAGTAGGAGATCGAAGCAAATCATTAGCAGAGTCCAATGTTGGGGAAGTCTTATCATCTGTGGCCATTTCATGAGTCTAAAAAAACAAAAGATATGAGTTCCTAAGGAAGCCCAAAAGTTGATTCCAAACAGCATCCCTAAATATCTGGAAATCTGACTCTGAAAACTCAGACCCCCGAAAACCAGAGTAAATAAATCTAGTTTAGCATATACTGCAAATTAAGGCTTAGAAACACGGCAGTCTAAATCATAGGGGTCTCAATCACGTCAAACTACGAGTACATAGCCAATCTAATTTTCAACATTGCTATTCAATCTACAAAAAATATCAAAATCATTAGCAATTTGGAGATAAGGTGTAAATGTGAGCAGGAAAAAAGCATTTTGACATAATTTATCTTTTTCCTTTTAAGATTTTTTTTTTTTGACAGACAATAGCTTTTTAATGTTACTGGGGAAAACTGATTTTACACAAGCATATTAATTCCTCAAAATTTTTTGAACTTAATTCAATTTTTTCTTTTAAAAAAATGCAAAGCAGGGGTGCCTGGGTGGCTCAGTCAGTTAAGTAAGCGTCTGACTCTTGATTTTGGCTCAGGTCATGATCTCAGGGCCATGAGATGGAGCCGGAGCCCAGCATATGGGCTCTGAGCTCAGGGTGAGTCTGCTTGAGATTCTCTCTCCCTCTGCCCCTCCACCAGCTCATATGCAGGCACACTCTCTCTCACTCTCTAAAATAAATAATCTTTTTAAAAAATAAAAAATGTAAAACATAAACATTTCCCAGAAAAGAAGATGGAACAGTGATCCCTTAATGACACTTCTATATAACTTCAAAAATTACCTCAAGCTGTGCCTTATCACCTCGAGAAATATACAAATCAACAAGCTGTTCCTATCATCTCTTCTTCTAGGCACATGAACCTGGTTTTTCTCCTTTTAAGAGTAAACTCATATAGACATTAAAATGAAGATCTTAAAGGACCTTTTTCTAAATAACTAAAAATCATAATTCAACCGAAGTAGTAAAGGTAATATCACCAGATGGAGGATACGGAAAAACACTGGTGTCTATTTCCTGTCATAATACTTCAAATAAGTGAGAACCGTGAACTATGCATAACCCTAGTCATTAAAGTACTATAGTTTGTCAACTAATTTATGTTTTACTAAGAGGACATCATACTCTTTCAAATGCTTTTCACTTTCAAAATCATATCTACCATCTCGTTTTATTTTTGCAAAAATCCTGGAGGGAGCACAGAGCTGGACTTACTACTACATTTCACCTTTGAGGCAACCAATGTACACTGAACCTAACACCTTTCTTGAGGGTCACACAGCTAGTCAGTGGTAGAACCGTAATCAGATCCCAAAATTTCATCCTAGAATTCCTCTTTCGATCAAATTATTTTTGTAGCTCTTCACAGACTTCCAATTTTAGCCTATCTGAATTCTAACTACTCAAGACATTGCCTGATTAATAATTAATAATTAATTAATTAAAACAGAAATGAAACCATGGACTTGAACATGATTTGGCAATAAATGTTTATTGGTATGGAGGAGGGGGAGGAAAGGAGGAAGAAAAAGAGGAAGGAGTATGGAGGAAGAGCAGGGAGAGAGGTGGAGGAAAGAGAGAGGAAGGTGGAGGAAGGAAGGAAGGAAGGAAAGGGTGAGAGCGGAGAGAGGGAGGGGGTGGGAGGAGGAGGAGGGAAGGAGAGAGAGAGAGCAGGTCTCTAATATCACCCACTATTGGGGAGAGTAGTCAATAATCCATATTCCAGCATAAAGGACTTTGAAGCAAGCTGCTGACTGAATAAATGTAAACTCAAAAGGTGGGGGGGGGGGGAGAGGACAAAAGGGAAGGAAAAAACAGAGCACTAAGGAGAAAGGATTGTGTGATTACAGCAACAACCCTCAGGCCTGGGAAAACAGTCTACATCCTACTTTGACACAAGTAACATCAGAAGCACAGTTAGCAATCTGCATAAAGAATCTCAGCATTACTTCTGAGGGTCACCCACATACAAAACTAATTAATAAGCTTTGGAGATATGAGAATAAAAATTACCATGACAACACCCAGCAATTGTAATCTCTGAAACATAAACACAGTCACATAGTTCATCTTAAAAATTCCATAATGACACCAGGATCTTGAAAAAACTGTCTTACAATTCTTATTCTCTGGTAGCTTAAAAACTCTGCGATATAAACCAGGACTCTTTGCTAACTGATAGGAAATTAGAAATATTAACCCACTTTCCAAATGCCAGTACTTTGCCTCTTCTCATTTGAAGGCTACTAGCTATCCAGGTGATTAAGCCAATATGAAAGCCAATCAGGTATTAAACGCAGAAAATAAGCCCAATCTACCAGCCAATTTCAAAATATAGCAGATGAAAAAAAACCCAAGTATCAGCTGAATCATTTCTAAATACAGTTTTTAAAAATACTTAAAATGTACCAAAAATAATGCAGGTCAGCTGAATACCAGAAATGTCAGTTTCCATCAACAAAGATTTTTTTGTTCAGTTTTTCATCAACATGCCAACAGAAACACTAAAGCAAGCCCACAACATGATCCATATTACTCCTCCCAGAAAGAAGAAAAAGGGAGCACACAGGGAAAGAAAAAGGGAATGCAGTCTTGCTCCACAGAAGGCTTAAGCTGCCCAGTCTATCAAAAACCCAAATCCAACCAAACAAAAACAAAAAAGAAAAAAGAAAACTAAGGTTATTTTTGAATCCTGATAGATGGAAGTCTTGGAGTGGCAGAAAACCAGATTCAAATAAGTTAGAAACAAGAGGGTGCAATACCCCAAACCACTACCCTCTACTGTCGGCATGGTACTCGTTTTAAAACAGAATGCACTGAATCAATACATGATCACTTAACAGATTCCTACACACTTCCGATAAGCCTAAATAACTTGCTTTATACAGAATTCTAGCACTTCTCATGTCTTGACTATGTTAAAAATAATAACCTCTATCTTGGACAGGAGACTCTTAATTCCCTAAAAATATCCGTCACATTTCATCCTCACCCTTTTTTGGGGAACATTCTAAGCAAAGGGAAAATACTAATTGGGAAATCAAGTCTCCTCCTCCAACATAGGTAGAAACAGAATGCACTCAAATAGCAGAAGCAATCATTTAAGGAGGTACACACGTTTGAAAACCCACTATTGGTGTCGTTTTCTGTAGCTCAGGAACTTTCTTTTGCAGTCTACAGATGCACGTCTGACACACAGACGAGGAGCTGATCGATCGGAGAGAGGAGGAATTGGACTGTGCACCTCCAAAACAAGCTCAGGGACACGGGACAAGACAGGGGCAAAGGAACTTCAAATGTGTCCAGGGAAACCTCTTCAGGAACAGCCGCACCCGGCTCCCTTTCCCGCTCGCCAGACAAGGGGAACCGGGCAATCAGGAAGCCGGCCCACTGCGGGCACAGCTTCTCGGCCCTCCGTTGCCCAGCCTCGGTCGCAGTCCGGCCTCCAGACACGGTTGGGAAGCGCCAGCTCTCGCCTTCACTTCAGCCTTCCCCTCCGCTCTGGCCCCGGAGCTCCCCAAACCGGCCTTCTTCCCCACTCTCAGCGCCAGCCGGCCGCGCGCCAGGCCCCCTCCCTTACCTGCGCCTCCCGCCCCGGCCCCGCCGGCCACCCTCCACCCCAGTCGCCGCTTCACCCCGTTCAGGCGCAGGAAGCCAGCGCGACGGGGGTACTCGGGCCACCGGCGGTTGCTGCAGGAAGCAAAGCCACTCACATAGTTGGTGCGGCTTCTCGCTTCCCCCGAAGGCTCCGCCCCCTGTTCCTCCTTCTCTCCAATCCGCAATGCTCCCGGGCGCCGGCTCCGCCCTCTCCTCCGCGCCCGCGCCACGTTCGGATCAGACGCCCAGGCAAAAGGAGTCGAGCTCAAATAGAGTCGTCCTGGACAATTTGACCGATTAGGCCGCCTCAGCCTTCGCAGAGGAAGCCAGGGCGACTGCGCGCGTGAGCATCACGCGTGCCGGGTCACCCGACGGGTGCTGGCTGGGCCATTGCAGTTACCGTATGTGTTCGATGATGTGGGCTTTCAGAAGATGTTACCGCGCTCAGCGTTCCCAGGGACTGATATTCACAGGAGCGCAGACTGTTGTCACACTTAAGTGACTCGGTCAATGACTGGCCATGTGACCTTCAACAAATTACTAAATTCCTCAGGCCCTCTTAACTGTAAGATGAGGCTGATAACAACCACTTCACAGACAGTTTTTTGAAGATAAAGTAAAACATTGCACATAAAGCATCTGGCACAGTGCCTTACCCCAGAGTAAGTGATGTGAGCTCTTTAGTCTTTTCATTCAAGTTTTGTGTTGCACCAAGACTGAGCGCAAAGAAAATTACCAAGTTGCTCAGCCTGGCTAGCATCATTCCATCTTTTTGTCCTGCTGTGAGCATTGTGCCCTTAGCTGAAGAAGACTTGTGCCAAAACCTGCTGACCCCAATTGTGGGACTTGGCAGGGGTGGTCAGAAAGGAAACCCAGAGTGCGGTGCTATTTTAATTAAATTCTTCAGGCCCTTTCCTCAAGAGTTTTGGCAAATCCCTACCCAGTTTTCCTCGAGTTAGCCTTCTCGGCCGATGGAGAGCAGCATCGAAGCCCGAAGACTGGTACCAGTACAAGGAAATCCTTATCACCCTCAGCGGGGCCTTCAGCAATCATCCTAAGAGTAGTCAGTTTCCTCTTCCCTTTCTCAACTGCTGTTCCACATTACACCATTCCTCCTGCCCCATTACTTTGACTATCATTCTCAGCAGAGAATCTACCTGAGTGAGAAAGCTGGGGTTATTGGGTGTGACCGCTAACAAACCCTTCGTTGAAACACATATTTATGATTCTTACTGAGTCTTTTATTGTTATGATGGTACTATGCTTATATTCTTCTATCAGGTATCACTTGCATTTGTACTCAAAACAGCTTTTCCTGGGCGCCTGGGTGGCTCAGTCGTTAAAAGTCTGCCTTCGGCTCAGGTCATGATCCCAGCGTCCTGGGACCGAGTCCCACATCGGGCTCCCTGCTA